TATTAAATTTATAACATGGTGCATAATATAATGATATAAGTATAATATAGTTTGTTTTAGCCACAAATTGTATGTAAGTCACAGGGGAATATATTTGTCTGGTCGGCCAATCCTTTTCACCCCTCACCCAATTACCAACAATAAGTGGGTGCAATATAAATATTTTACATTATTAATTACAGATAATATATTGTATACAATCACCTCATTATAGGTATACCTATGTGATATTGATAATATAGAACAACAGCACTAGGATTTTGGAAAGGGGCAAATATTATTTTTGAAAATTACTTGTGGGCCACATGCAGTAAATTTTAATTTGCGCATAATATTGACCGAAGTCGTATTATTTTTACTAAAATAAAAAGATAGGGGAAAAAGATTCCTAGTTCCTAGTTAAATTTTGAATAATAATAATTAAAAGTTATAAAATTAAAAAAAAATATTATTTCCATGCAAGCATTTTATTTTATTTACTAAAGTGTAGAATATTGGATTTTAAATCTAAATTCAGTTTTAGTGCGGGCTACACAACATTAATTGTTAAAAGGCCACATGCGGATCGTGGACCGCGTAGAGGGTAGTGGGTACCTACCATATTATATAGAACCTACTAATGCTTAAATATAGTATCAGTGGCGTAGCGTGGGTTTCAGCTTAGCGTATGCGTTGAAATGGTGAGTTAATGAAATCGTGAGGGGCTACTCCCCCACACCCCCCCATACTGTTTTTAAAATTTTACTTTAAATATGCAAAATAGTTACGTATTTATTAATATATATTACATTACCTAGTACATAACAAAATATTATATTAAATAAATAAAAAAATAATCACTTTTTAAAAATTATTTTATATTAATAATTACATCTCATAAATTTAAATAAAATAATAAACTTACTAGCTAAAAAATTACTTATATATTAAATAAATTCTTCTATTTTTAGTAAGGAAATTTTCGATTACTTCATCATGAAACGTAGATTTTTTTGTCAAAACTTACGCACGTCAAAACTTAAAATAATATACTGTCGTCGATAGCGTATGAATTACTGAACCCGCATACACGAGTGCCGAATACACGACCGTAAGCGTTCTATGTTTTGTTATTAATATTATCGATAAGAATTATAAACAACTGTCGCTGAATGTCTATACCCATATGCAATCGCCAACATGCATACTGCGGACATACTACATAAATACAAAATAAATATGGTAGGTACATGACTACTAGCCTCTAGATATAAGGACTATAGCGAGGCGCGGCCGTGGTGTTGCGGATTAATCAATCCTAATGATTAATGAGCTTGGAAGAAAATCCACAAAATATTATATTATGAAGTACTAAATTAGTAGAATAAAATTTAAAACATTTTATAAAAATATGGCATCATCAATATATAAAAAAAAATTATTTTTTCAATTAGTGAAGTGTATGATGTGCATACACACCATACGCATACTCTACGCCACTGTATAGTGGGTTATTGCTATAACGCCACCACTATATCATTTCATCACGTTAAAGAATGACAATGGCAGCGTAAGGGGATAACCTATACTTAAGCTACGGTCTGTCCCCTTATGCTGCCATTGTATTTTGTGTAATAGGCATATGTGCAATAACCTTGTACATTTAAGCAATGCTATTACCTATACACCATGGAAGAGTTGGTTTGAAAAATGTAATGTATAAACATTAAGGGTTGCAATATGCCAATATTGTAAATATTTTCAGTTATGACTGTAACTATATTAATCAATTATGAGAGAATTCATGGTAGGAGAAACAGGAATCAAAATCGGGAATGACCAGCAACTAGTAGGGGCAGGATATGCAGATGATGTTATAATAATGGCGGAGAGAGAAGAAGACCTTAAGAGAACTACTAGTAAACTGATAGAAGATGGTGAAAAAATGGGATAAATGGTGAATGAGGGTAATACAAAGTACATGATAGTCACGAGACACAATCGTGTAACAAAACTTTTGGAAGTGAATAATTATAATTTTTAAAGTGTAGCAAACTCGAAATATCTATGTGTAAACATCAATGAAAATAATGACAGCCACGAAGAAATAAGACACTTAATACTGGTAGCAGCAAATAAATGCTACTTTGGACTAGTACCCCTTTTCAAATCAACGATGCTATTACGGAGAACAAAATTAATGTTGTACATAGTTCTGGTGAGACCGGTTGCACTATACGCCTGTGGCGCATGGGCAACAGCAAAGACAGATGAAAATAGGCTTGCTACAATTGGAAGAAATATCCTTAGTAGGATATTTGAGCCAAAAAGAAACGTTTTAAAAGAATTTAAAATGAGAAACAAACCGAGAAGTAGAAGAATTGTATGGCAAAACAAATATAATTGGAGTCTTTAGGAGTAGTAGGCTAGGATGGGCTGGATACGTATGGAGGTCTGAAGGCCCTATAGGGTTGACCACAAGTTGGAAACGTGACACAAGAAAACCAAAAGGACGACCCAGACAGTGGTGGAAAGACAGGATTACAAAAGATGCATCGAGTTTGGGAGTAAACGACGGAGAAGAACTATCTCAAGATAGAGATAGATAGAGGCAAGTGGTTATTGCGGCAATGGGCTTAAATTACCCATAAAAGCCAATGAAGAAGAAGAAGAAGATGTGCCTTAGATTGTATTAGTTTTTTTACTTTTGCAGTCACAGTTTCTACTGCCAATATATCATTCTTTAAGCTGAAAATAATTAAAACTCATTTAAGGAACTCATTGGGACAGAACTGACTATCTCATATATAAGTTTTAAACATCGAACAACATCGTACTAAAGAATTATCTTTAGATAAAATTATAGCAGACTTTTCAAATATATAGGCAAGTAGGATGAAGTTTTAAAGTAAAGATTGTAAAAGTAATACTGTTAATAGTTAGGTATTAAATTACATGCATTTCTTTATTTTGTTTTTATTATTAAGCTACCTGAGTGAGTAGTTGTATATTTCTAATGATACGATTTGTGATCTTTATGTTTTAAGTTTTTTTTACAGAACACGCTGGTGTAAACAAATTTGAGAAACATTCTATGGTATATCATGGTTATAGTATAATTATGGTATAGTGGTTGAAAGCAATTTATTACAGGAGGGTGGTAATATGAAGTACGGACAATTAGTGCAAAACAATTTCTGCTGGCCTGGGGTCTAAACAAATTAAGTTACGGCACTATTCACGAAAATAAGTCTCTTGTGAAAGCATAGCAAATTTTTAGTTAAATAATAAAGTTGGAAATACAATAATCTAATTGGAAATTTTAAGTAGGAGTGCATGATGTAATTTTCAAATCATTTTGAATAATATAAACAGAGTTATATCCAATTTAATTAGAAATTATTGTAGCGTATTTTACAAATTTTATTAGATAATATTAGATAAGAGAACAAAAGGCAATGCGGAATACTACTTCCCCGTGGCCCACATTACAATGCACAATCCGACACTTATAATGGCAACCAATAAACAAAATAAACAAAATAATAATAATATATAATAATATTTCTACTATTACTATTATAATCTGCTAAAAAAAAAAAAGAAAAAAAGATCATTGTAAAACCAATATGTTCCCGAAATAATAAGCTATCAACAAAATATGAGTGATAAACCAACAAAAAACTCCTCCATACTTCGTGTAAAAAAACGCCAAGTATAAAAAAACGGCTCTACAACTTGTGATATCATTTTATAGGTAGGTAAGTCTTTGAACTATAGATCAGGGACCAGAACCGGAGCCGAAAATAACCGGTTCTTGAACTGGTTAACTTTAAAAATGTAGGAACCGTAACTAGAACCGGAACCGGAACCTTTATTTCCAAAAATTAAAAACCGTAACTAATACCGTAATTATAAAAAGGTTATTTAGGTTGGTTAGACTAGTTATTTGGACTAGTCTACTTCAATTAAATTAAAAATATTTATTTCATAAAATCATAATATTTCACAATACTACAAATATGAAATATTACATAATATTTTACAGACTCTTATTATGTGATGGAATAAAATAGCTTAACATAACCCAAAGAAATATTTACAATATTATCTTATATTCCTATAGATTTCGTATTGGCTGATATTTACAGTGGAACCTCGATTATCCCGGGTAATGGTGGGGAGTCACACGGATAAATGAAAACCACGGTTAATCGAGACTTTTTATAATAATACGATTCATTATTTTCCCGTTTTTAACATAACTTTCTTTTTTGATTTATTTAGAAGATTATTTGAACATAAATGATATCTATAGTTCAAAGACTTTGCTACCTATAAAATGATTTCACAACTTTTAGAGCCGTCTTTTTGGATACTTAGAGGTTTTTTTCATACGGAGTATGGCGGTGGGTTTTTGTCCGGACACATAATACACAGAAATACAAAATTACATTATAAGTTACCTTTTTTTTTTGCAAAAATTAATGAAACCTACAGTATTACTATACCTAATGTCTAACAGTAAAATAAATTACTTTTATAGCATTAATATCATACAATTTACTTAGTTATTATAGGCTAACAGACGGTCTTTGCTCAAAATCAATTTGAGTAAAACACGACTTCATACAATGAAATTCAAATTTAACACATATATTACAATGACTGACATAACACCTAATGTAGGTACAGAATAGTGGTACCTATTTTCCCATATATTTTTTTCTCAAATAATAAAATGACCCCCTAAGTACCAACTAGGTAGCTCCAATTTGATAGCGAGGCCACCATTTAAGTGGAAAATCATATCATTTTAACAGCAGACAGAAAGAAAATAAAAAAAAATTGCTATAAAATCAATACTTTCAACTCTCCATTTAAAATCTAAATTATAAAATGAAATTTATTAGGTTAAAAAAAAGTAAGATTATCTTCATTTTTAAAAGTGTCTACCCTCAACATTTAGTGTTTAAAAAATGTAAGGTAACTTGGTTCAATAAATTGATGATTTCATGGTATTAATGTTTAGATATTTTATTACCCAATGCAGAACCAGCACAAAATTTATCAATAGTAATAAAATTTTCAAATCCGTTTGTATACATATCCCGACAAGATCTATGGTCGATATATGATAATGATTCTTCTAATAAAACCGGACTAAAAATGCCTTCTTCAGTTTTTCCCCAACCGACGATCTGTAAAAGTATAAAACAGTTATATAATATATAGTAATAAGTTATAATATAAATCATTTTTTAGGTGAGGACTGGAATCTGTATAATTTATTAATTAACTCTGAATGATTGAATATTTTTAATTTTGGAATTCGATTAATTATGAAATAAGAATTACGTTTAGTGGTCTTACAAATTTGTATTTTGAGATTTAATTTTAGATACTAAGCAAAGCGATAAATGTATTGATTTTAGAATTATATGTTGTGGTTTTGTTTGGTTATCATCACGTTTTAGGGCTGTGAGAATGTTTGGATTTTCTACTTCTTCATATTTTCTGGTAGAAAAAATAATCTGATTGGTACTTTGAGGGATCAAAAGTAAAAAACTCCCAGTACTCTTTTCAAAACTGTCGGCAAAAACAAACAATAAGTTATGGAAAAATGAAAATTATACTCAAAACCAGATTTTTTTTTTGTATAACTCTTAAAAACCCATAATACCTACATAAAATGTTCAATTAATGTTTTTATTTTGGATTTTTCAATCATGTTAACCGAAAAGTAAAATACATTGTTTATGGACTGTAATATGACTATATTTATGTAAACTTTAGCAGAGAAACTTGCGGTATTTGTACTTTGCATACAAATGGACGATAGTGATAGATAAGATATATCTGTAATTAAATTACAATTGAACTATTTAAATAATACTAAAAACCGACCTTTCCTCGATCTCCATTGGCTATATTGTATTTACCATACCAATCGATACAAACAGGTGCAACACCATTACTAAAGGAAACTCTGTCTTTTGACACAATAATAGCTATATCTGCAGCATGAAACCCAGAAGGTCCATAATAACCATCATTTAGGTGAATCATTTCCACCTGTACAATTGTTTTAATTTATATTTATAGTATTTTGAAATATTAAATAACTTACATTAATTATTTTAGTAAAATCATTGTCAATAACTGTAAAATCTCTAGCATATTTTCCAACAGCAATTTTGTATAGACCGTCTTTTATTGATATGTTTTTAGATAAAATACCTTTTTTCCAAAAACAATGAGCCGCTAAAAACGTTTTTAATTAATTAGTTCTTTCTTAAATACGTTTTACTTTTACAACAAATTTACCAGTAACGACTAAATTTTGAGATATTATTGATCCTCCACAAATCAAACCATTATTGCGATATATTCCAACATTCCAAGGTGCTGTTCCAATATTTGCTTCATAACCATTGTTAATCAGTATTTGGTTTTTGATATATAGTCTACCGCAGTCTAAAATAATATTTGAATATACTTTTACAACATAATAATAAATAATAATAACTATAATAATAATAATAATAATACCAATAGAATAGATACCTATTAAAATGTTGACGGTTTAAAAATGTACATCAAACGTGAAACGATTATGCCTAACCATACCATTATTAATTGTTCTACCTTAATTTATAATACCAACAGAATGATTTGGATACAGACAAATTAGATAAATTACAAATACATTAGGTACAGAATGATAATTGTATGCATAAATTATGCATATATTCAAAGGTTAATTATTGGAATATTAAAATACTCTCTAGGAACATATTTTATGTAAATATTTAAAGTAGAGATTGGGGCATATGCGATATAAAATGTTGGAAATAACCTACTATTGATTTATTAAGATAAATAACTATCAAAAATAATAAAAATTTAATACATTAATACATATTGTATATTACATATTAGTTTATATATTAATAAGCCCAATTTCAAGGAGAATTATCCTTTGTATACCACGCAATTTAAATATCTCAGAAACTAGGTAGGTACTCATTAGAACTTTTATTTAGATATACCAACATTTTCAAGAAAATCATCCACTAAGAGCGTGCTCTAATTTGTAAAACAGATTGTACTGTATGACAGTTTATATTGCTACAGGAAACTCATTAAGTAGTACAAAAATATCAGAAATGTGAAAATATGGTATTCAAGTGAATTAAGTTAGGTAATACAATGGTACACAAGGTAGGTACATAAAACAATTCTAAAAACCAGAATTTGAATAATTGTACTATTAAAAGGAAAAATGGTGGTGAGTATGCTCAAAATATTATTCTGTATATAAATTATGAAATTATGTGAATATGGTAAGAAATAAAATTACATGTAGGATCGCATCTATATAGTTGTTTATTCCACGTCCCATTAGGCTGACAAAGTAATTCAAGCGGATTCTCATCTTGTCCATTTGGTGCTGTATATAATGGTTTACATGATATTGTTGCTGTTGTATTGGGTATCAATGAATTTGAACAATTAGCATACACTCCATTATGACTACATTTAATATCCAAACTATCTGATTTTAGAGGTGGGCACATTTCTATAAATGTAAATAAATTATAATCAAACATAACTATACTTTGGACTTTTTATGTAGGTATCAATAAATAATTCATTATTACAGCATTCGAATTACTATACAAAAACTTACCTAAACACAATGTATCTTTGAATGAAAACCATTTTCCTTTTTCAAGACAAACCCTTACACTAATAGGATAAGCCTTGTGATATCCAACTTCACAGTTCTCAATAACAGTACGATGATGACTAATTAAAGTCCCGTGCGATAAAATATCATTAGAACCTTCATAAGAATATACAACTCCTTTGACAGTTGGTAAAACGCATACATTCACTTTACCCTGACCAACCTTAAATGTTAAAAATATATATTCTGTATATTATATCTACTTTCTCAAACAGAAGTTGTTATTACAAAAAAACAAAGTAAATATTATAATAAATCCAAAATTAAAATTTACACTTTTAAATAATTATATTTACGTACATGTACTTCGAAAAATCCACGAATCCAATGAATATGGTATTTAATGTCTGTAAAAACTGTGATTGAATTATTTGGATCATTGACGCCAACTAATCCGGTTAAATAATAAGAATTAGAGTGTAAAAATGTTAAGCCAGCTCCGCTACCACTTCTACCTACTCCTTGTCCTGAAACTATATATATTTTATACATAAGACACAAATTAAACATATTCCTTTTATTATGTAGTGGCCGTATGATTGGAAATCAAGTGGAGAGTGTAACATTTTTCATTTATTTAAATGTTAATTTTAAATTCTATATAAAAATAATATTATTTATTATAATATTAATTTATTTGATTTTATTTAACCAATTTCTCCACAGTACGAGTTTTCTTTGGTTACCATTGAAAATTTTTAATATGAAAATTTCATTGTAATTAATTTAAACTCAATTTGGAAACTATTGGATTTTACTGTAAAATTCCCGTTTTTTTTTTTTAAATTTTTGTTTCTGATCGAATCAATATAAATATTGATTTAAAATGATGTGTGTTTTTTATTTTATTTCTATTTTTTGTTGAATGTAAATGTGAATCTACTTGATGTCACCGGGAGGTTTCCATTTCAATTTCCCTGTAGATTTCAAAAGCGCCAGCAATGAAAAAAAATTTTTACGAATCCATAACTCAAAATAATTTGATAATTGTCTTGATTTTTCCATACCTATTTTGTCAATTTTTGAACTTTAAATGCTTATAAAAAAAACCGTGACTAAGGATTTTTAATATTTTTCATCTGCCTTTGAAACAATATACTAGTAGCCCTCTATTAAATGTTCAAGCTTTTTTAACCAACAAATAAAATTTTATTGATATTTATAGAATAAAAACTAAAAAAATTGTAAACTGAAAATGTCCCTAAACAGCTCAAAATAAGTCAAAATATTTTAAAAAAGGCATGGTGTATAAAAAATGCTAATATAAACAGTCAGTAAAAATGTCATGTATCTAAGGTCATTTGTTTTAGAGTTACACTAATAACCAAAATCGATTTTCTAGAAAACAGATTTTTCGTAAAAATTCTGGATTTTCCTTAATTTTCCTTTTGTTTTTCACGTCGCTTTTGAAAACTACTGGGAAATTTTTACTTTTGATCTTCCCAAGTACCAATTAGATTTTCTTTCCTATCAGAAAAGGTACTGTTGAAGAAAATCCAAGCACTTTTTTTGTCCTAAAAAGTAATGACAGACACAAAAAAAAAAATAAAAAAACACACATCACTGTAAAATCAATACATTCATCATTCCACTCAGAGTCTAAAAATAACACACATTATTGTAAAATCAATACATTCATCATTCCACTCAGAGTCTAAAACACACCATCATTGTAGAAATGTAATACATTCATCGTTCCACTCAGAATCTAAAATGATTGTATACTAAAATCCCATCATCTACTCGGTATACAGTCATGTACTATAGATAGCTTTTAACATTATAATATAATACCAATATGACAACACTTATGTTACATAGGGCACAATATGAATAAATATTTCAGTACCCAATTTAGAACCAGCACAAAACTTATCAGCAGTCACAAATGTTTCAAATCCATTTCTATAAATTTTTTGACAAGTTTCATGGTCAATGAAGGTTAAAGATATTTCAAATAAATCAGGATTTGATATATTTTTTTCCATGTTTCCCCAACTAACCATCTGTAAAAATATAAAATAATTATAAAGTTAAAAATTGGAGTATATTCATAACATTGATAATTTATTATTTTTTTGTAGGTAATGCATTCAGTTAGTTTAATAAAGCCCTAGTAAATCCTCATCACTCAATGACACACCTCAATGACAGCAAATATACTTACAGATATCTTACAAGTTAATAGGGATGTTAAAAGAGCAAAGTTAGACTAGTTACAACGAAAAAATTATTAATAACAAAGAGATAAATTTGAAAGTATTTTTAAGTTAATTTTTTGATTTTAAACGTTCTTCTTAGAAAAGTTGTGATGTAATTGAACTTAATAAGGGGCTAACTTATAGAACTTTTCCATTTTGATTATAGTTCACAGGTATTGGGAAAATATTATAAGTTTTTTAACTTAATTTGTAATTTTTTAACAGTTAGTTTTTGAATTTATTCTTAGTTCATCTATTTGAAGCTATCGCCAAAATGTATTGTAACTTGTGTGGGTATCTTAACCATCATCTAACGTCACTTCGTAAAAATTAATCAAAATAAGCAAAAAATTGAATTGTATGTGTTTAATAAGAATACAAACTATACACTACAACAAATTTACCTTTCACGCTAAACTTGCCGCACCCAACAAAAACACAACCAAACTAAACATCTCCTCATATGACGACATCAAAAAGGCAGTTAAAACACAAATAAGGAAAAAATGGCATCTACTCTGGAACGATCAAGACACAAAACTAAACCAGATAAAAAGAACTACATTCAGTTGGGAAAATCATGAATTTAACCGAAAAGAAGAAACCACTATAAATCGACTCAGGATTGGGCACTCCAGATTAACACATGGATACCTCATGTCAAGAGAAGAACCTCCCACATGCAAAGGATGTGGGACCTCCCTCACCATCAAACACAAACTAACGGAATGCCAACTCTATCAACAGGAACGAATAAACTTCGACATTACAGAAACACTCGATTCACTTCTCGGACCGGATCCCGCTCAAAACAGGAAAATAGTTAATTTTTTAAAATCAATTAATTTATTAGAACAAATATAATGCAAATGTAAATATAAATATTATTATGTAACAAAAGTATCACAAAAAAAAAAAAACTGTAACTAATGGCCTATATGTTGCCGGGTTGTAAAATAAATAGATCAATAAAAAAAAAAAAAATTTACCTTTCCTTCATCTCCATTGACTATATTGTATTCACCATTCCAATCAACACAAACCGGTGAAACACCATTACTAAAAGAAACTCTGTCTTGTAACACAATAATAGCTATATCTTCAGCATGAAACCCAGTAGGTCCATTATAACCTCGTTTCAGGTGGATCATAGACACCTGCAAATTAATTGTTTTAATTTATATTATATATACCATAACAAATAATTTGTGGACTTTTGTCTTATAATAACATACTTACATTCATTATTTGAGTTAAGTCATTTCCAATAACTGTAAAATTTCTCTCATATTTTCCAACAGAAATTTTGTATAAACCATCGTTTATTGATATTTTCTTAGATAACATACCTTCTTGCCAAAAACAATGAGCCACTAAAATATATTAATTTAATTTTTATTCTTGCTTTAATTCGTTGTACCAAGATATTACCAGAAACGACTAAATTTGGAGAGATTATTGATCCTCCACAAATCAATTCGTAATTGGAATTTTCTTTATTTAATCGATATATTCCAACATTCCAAGGTGCTGTTCCAATATTTGCTATGTCTTTTTTGAGTGTAACTTGGTTTTTAATATTAACTCTACCGCAATCTAAAGTTATATTAGATTTAATATTAAAAGTTCCATATTTATTTTATTTTTATTTTATTTTACATGACATTAGGGTCCAATGCCCAATGTATAGTAATTAAAAGATATAGGAACATAATAACGTAGATTCATTAAATATTAACTTTAAGGAATAATACACGTATAAAGGTTTTAAATGCTAGGGAGGTTCTCGATACCTAGTCGCATCATTCGGTGGATAGCGTGGTCACGACCATCATTTATGTTATTTTGATGAACATAGTAAGGAAAAGATTACCTAGAGGATCTACTAGGAATTCTAAAATTCACCTCTGCAAGAAAATCAAATACTTTAATGGAACCGTTTACAAGTTTATTGAGAAGGATAAGGTTGGCTAAAACTATTATGTCGGAAAGTCTACTAAATTATAAGTGGTGTAAAACGTGGAAATAATGTCGTGGTTAATCAAAACAAAAGATTAAGAAACTTTCGCTGAACTTGATCTAGTTGAAAAGTGTCATAGAATGTTTAGGGATCTCGAAGAGTTGAGTCATATTCAACTATCGGTCTCATAAGAGTACACAATAAAGGGTTTTTTGAGAATAAGATAGTTTGAAATTCAAAGAGGTGATGAAACTTAGTGTTTTTAGAAACTTACAGGTAATGTGCAAAAATAGTAATTTAAACTATAAGCTAGGAGGAAACCCAAATATTTCTTTATGGATACTCTTGTTAGAGAATGGTTTCTTAATGAGTGATCAAAAGGGATGGTAGAATAGTGTCTCGTAAAATACAATAAAAGGCATTTTTCATGTTTAGGGATAGTAGAGAATTATTCAACCATAAAGATAAAGTGCTGAGTTTGATTTGAAGTACGAAAGAGGTAATCCTTGTGGAATTTTGTTGGAAAATATTTAAACCCAGCACGCAGTTGAGAGAATGCTAAATAATCCTGCTGATTGTGTGATACCTTGAAAGCAGCATGTGCTCCGTCTTTAGTGAACACCTAAGTTTTTAGCTACCTCGTGAACCAAGGAGGAAACTTAGGAGGAGTAAAAAGAATTTCAGGAACAACATTAAGAAGGAATACTGCAAGGTGAAAAATAGGCAATAAGTGGCTGAATTAACATTTAGGTTCTGTAACATTAGGGATAATCGAAGGAATTTAGGAAAGATACCTATTTTTTTGGAATAGTCAGCCCTACGAGCTTTAATTTAGATTAATATGAAAAACTCAGACACCTTTAGTTATTATACAAACATATAAATTATAGTAAATGTCATATAGCAATTATTTTGTACTCATTGGCATATTTGGTGCATATCCGTATAGAGCACACAACTCTTTGTTCTCGTCTGAACCATCTGAACAATCCTTATGACCATCACAAACCCACGACGATTTGATACACAGTCCATTTGAACAATAAAACTTATCTTCTTCGTTTCTATAATTTTATTAAATTATGCAGTAAATGATTATTTAATATTAGTTATAAACAAATATGAAAACTAATCAAAAAAAAAAAAAGGTCCAATCAAAATATTCAACAGTACAGTAGATAATTATGCCAAATCCAACTGTTACTATACTTATGTGCCGTCAGCGAAAAGTTATATAGTTAAAAATGACAAAAATCTCTTGAAAAACGATTGTCTGACACATTTTTATTATAACTAAATTAGAGACTGTGAATGTCAGTGAACAAAATATTTTAATAATAAGTTAAGGGATTCGTAAGTTTTAAATTAATATATAATTTAAGACGATAATATAAAATAGATTCAAGATAATAATAACAAATTAGATTTCCAAGCATATCATTAAATTGTATATGACAAGTCGGAATCCGATCTGATATATGTAGTTAAAATAGAAAAATTTAAAAAGATGAGAGAATAGTTAAAGTTTATTTGTAAATAAAAAAGGGGTTTTGATCTTCCTGATCATAATATTGTGTAGTTAGTACTAGCTTCGTAGTAAAAATACATTATATTAAATTTAGATCATAATATATTGATAGATGGTGCCTATTAATTGGGCCACATTTTATTACCCGAGTATTAGACGAGGTATGAAAAATATATTTTTATTTATATTTAAAGGGTTACCTGGAGATTTTATTACATAATATATATATCACAAATATATAAATACACAAATATAACCACTATTAATTACAGACTACAGACATATATAATTATAACATTTATTGTTTTGAATAAATATAAATTACAAAACCATCTCTAGAGAAAATTAAATCAAATTACATCTTATTTTTTTCAATTACTCAAATATATAATGTCGTTTTAAATAATGAGATACACATTTTAGATTTCACAAATGTAAATCTACAGATATTTTTCTTTTTTTATATTTTTTAATTTCCTCACGTTTGTTGTTCCAACGCTTCTAATAATTGTACCTAATATAAACTTCGGCTTATCGGATACCTGATTCAATAATAAAATAAAAATAAAGTAGTTTTTCAATCAAATGGTATAATTTTATAAATGTAAAATTTTAGTAGCACAATATTACTAAACACCAAAAAAGGCTTATTGCAGCCCAATTCCCAAGTGCCCTAATAAAGATCGTATATTGACTGATAGTGCTCATTAAACTCTTAGGGCTCTATCATAGATAATAAATACATGGATAGGACGCCTCAAATTCATTACGTATTAGTTTTGCGGTCCAACATAGATAAGAAATTGAGGCGATTTGTTTACATTTTTAGTTGACAGTCGATACTCCATATAGATATACATTATTTGGCCTCAATTATTCCCCTGGAAGACCGCTGATAAGACCATTATGTCCTATCCATATCTTTATTATCTATGGGCTCTATGCGCCGAGGCCCCAATCAACACTATTTTTGCCACTTATAATCACATAATATTTATTAATCATACTACAGTTACCAACATTGAGCAAGAATCATCATCTTTTCTGTCACACAAAATGCCTGATCCTGAAATAAGGAATTATTATGCATTAAATATGTATACTATGTTTTGTGAATGAAAAATATTATTTATTGTCTTAATCAGCATTTTCAGTTTAAAATTTTAAATTCAATAGCATAATACAATCTTATGTATATTATTCATTCATATATATACAGTTTCATAAATTAAGTTAATAATAATTAAGTACCTAGTGAGTTGTGGCTGAGAGGAACAAAAGTTTTGACCACCCAATAAAATGTAAAAAGAAAACCACTCATTCGCTCACAAGCATCTAGGTTCTTCCAATTTTTGCCACAATTCAACCGATATCTTATATTCTTATAATCTTATGTATATTCCATCATAATAACAAATTCAGTTATAACGACTCTGTTTGTAGTTATAGCCGAATATTAATAGGAGTGGCTGTTTTATTTCAGAATTTTTATTTTGTCAGATGATATACATCATCGAATGGTGTTTGAACTTAATAACTATAAATAGGTGTTAATTTGTAATTCGACAATTATTTCCCAGTACTTATAGATAGGTACAATTGTATTATATTTCTTAACACGTTCAACGCAGCCTGTAATTTCAGGAACAACGGAAATAACAAAAACTAAAACCACCCATACCTTAAATTTTAAAAATTAGAGTTCATTTTCAATGGCCTATCTAAGTTTCAGAGTTTATTGAAAAAAAAAACGATTTAATTATAGCGTATATAAACGTATACGTTTTGTCACCGACCCGTTTTAATAAATGCTGTTGACGCGTATAAAATATATAGGTACCTACTTAGATCATAGTAACGTTTCTCACCAAACAACCAGTCTATCCTGTTGCTTTTCAAACATGTATATAAGAAAAGACCCAACATGACGCCCCTCACACATACTTAGGATGTCACTGAATCTTATGAGTATTTGATATATATAATTTTTGGTTTTAGATAAACACTCAGCTGTGTTCAATCAAAATATTTATACTATAGATATCCCTAATTTAATATACTAACTAAAAACAGAAAATGTCATCATTGGGGGTAGCTTTTTTCTTTACATAATATGTTATAAATTATATTATACTAAATGTCTAAATACTTTGATGTGCCTACATTTTTTTCAAATATCAGATTATAGTTAGTAGGTACTGATTAGTAATCATTCCAATATCATACGAGATGATTGTATGTAATACTTTTTAAAACAAAAACGCTGTAGTTATAAAGAAATTATATAAAACAATAAAACATTATCTTTGGAGTTTAATTGTTACACCGTTACAAAATGTTTTCTTAGAATATGCACACACCCCCACACACACTTATAATAATATACTATTGCAGTAAATTAAAAATCAAAAATTAAATCCGACAAAAATAAAGAAAAGTATTTCTATATATACCTAGTTATATCCGTATAATTATATGACAGATTATTTTTTTCTATAAATATTGTAACGAAGCTCTTCAATATATTAGATGTATTGTACCATGAAAAATGTAGAAGGTAAAACCGTAATTTTCACGCAAAATCGCTTTTCGACGAGATTGATTTTGGTGTTTGCTCTTAAATATTACAGTCGACACATGCAATTTTCACAGAAGGTTTATTGAAAATGAAAAAAAAAGGAAAACTTGAAAGTAAATCTTCGATAGTTTTTTACGAGGGTGTTAAGTTCGAATTTTGACAAAATTTGTAAAAATCACGAACATTTTCAAATTATTTAGAGTTGTAAATTCAAAAAAATAATAACAATAATATTGATATAATATGATATGATATTATATTACGTACCGAAAGATAAACATGAGTATATTATCCAGGAATACGTCACCTTCATGGCCAATGATGAGCTGAGTTTAAATCGAATATATTTAAAAATGTAAATTGTACCTATATGTTCACACAAACGTAATATCAAATGAACTTCACTATACACTAAATAATATTTTACACAAATTAACAAATTTAGATATAGTAAAATATATTATTTTTATATTCTAATAATTAATACAAGACAACAACTGTAAATAATTAATTAATTTTTAACACCATAAGATAACAATAAGTAAGAGATGATTACACCAATAGGACTTTATAACGTAAGTCACATAATGTCGGGTATTCTATACTACTAACTCACAGTGTATGTCGTCGGTGTTGATGTAATGTACCTACCTCCTACTAGCTAATAAAAACACACGATGGACTGAAGGACAAACTACGTAGATCGGTGGTAATGCAAAAACTAGTAAATTATAAACTTGTTTTAAAATTAATTATATGTTGATCCTACTACTATGACGTCAAATACAACTTCGTTTATTGGACGTACCTATACTAAATACGACTGCGACTGCGGTATTCAGATTATGTTGGTACATGATACAATATAAACATAAGCACATTATAAAATATTGTTTTTGTTTAAATTTAACTGTATAGCAATAATTTTGTATTGTTTTTTTGTTTTATTATATCATATTATAGGGTGTAAACCTATAAGGTATTCCTAAATAGCATCTTTAAAAAAATTAGAAATGATTTATATTCCATTTGCACCGCAACTGCACAATATAAATCAATCGATTGTCTCCATTATTGACCATATCAAACAAACACTACAATTTAACTGTAAATTGTATAAGTAAATAGTTGCGTATGAGTGTTTTTTTGGAACAGGCCCGAATTGGGTGCGTAAAAGTTTGAGCGGACGACCGATTTTTGTCGATCTATGGCACGTATATTGTAAAAGTACTATTGTAAATATAACTATACATAATATAATATATATATATAATAGTAAATTCAATATTATACTGTAACATTGGTTTTCTCCAGTAAATAGCGATTAGATACATGACTTTATGAGTAAATTACTATAATATAAGGTAGGTACTCATATCATAATATGATAAGTATAATATTACCAGCCGAGTTGGTTTTGTACTTGGTGTCCCTCATGCGACGAGGGGGCCTTCACCTACGTATCACGTAATCCAGTCCACCGCCGCCGTCCAGAGCAACCGTCACCATTCGCCTTCTCCTTCGACGTCGTCGCAACAGCTGCAATCACGGACGCCGCCGATACCCCGTCATTAATGATCAAAATTGGTCTTGGTCTTGGGGTGTCGCAAGGCTCTTGCTGCAAGACCAAGACCAAGACTAAGACCTAGATTAGGCTTGTAAGAACAAGACCAAAACAATACCGAAGCTACAAGACCAAGACCAAAACAAGCCCATCACTGCAAGACTGTTGCAGTCTTGCAAATTTTTTTTTTCCCCGAAAACACATTAGTTTATCTAGATTTCATTAAATAATAAATTATAATGAAAATAATAAGAAATTATTTGTACCTATTGTTATTAAATTTGATCAGTATTCGAAGAAATGGCGAATTATTGAAAAAAGATTAGAAATAATTAGAATTAATATAACAAAATAACATGTTTCATACTAATAATTATCAATTACTGAAAAATGATTTTGCTTTCCCAAAATCGACATGATGGAAGAAACTTAAACATTTATTACTTGATACATTGATTACATTAACTGGACATTAGTGAATGAAAGAAGAATAAAAGTTTAATTATACATAATAAATATTATCATAATAACAAATATAATTATTAAGCAATTTAATATTTGGAACAAACCAAACAGTTTTTTTTTAATATTATTATTTGTTAAAGTGAACATTAAAAAAACAACATTTTAATTTTTATAAACATTTTATTGGTCAATAATTAGTAATTAGTAATAACACAGCTATAACAGGTATTTAGTTTTTTTTTTTATATATTTTGTGAAAATAGCAAGTCTTGCAAGAGTCATGCGCCAGACCAAGACCAAGACCGAGACCGAGACCAAGATTTTGAAAGACTTGGTCTTGGTCTTTGGTTTATTATTATTGCTCGGTTTTGAGCTCATAAAGAGACGTCTTCACCAGCCGTTATTAATTATATTATTGTTATATTATTATATTAATACATTATTCAATCATTACTAAATTGATCTTAGTGTTTTTTTGTACTTTCGGTCACCTAATCCACTCATAACTCTTGAACTCCATTTCAATTATTATTAGTTGCCCGGCCAAATGCCAGTTAATAGCCTGCAGCGCAAAGCTTTCCTTAATGCTTGCGAATCGTTTCATTCAAAGCTTAATAATATCCATCATATAAAAACATTTCCAGTTTTTAGAAGTTTTGAAAAATGTACAAACTAACATGCGTAGCTGAAACCTGATACAAAAACGACTTAATGCAGTAGAAAAAGAAGATTATATCAGTGATATTATGCGTCAGTAGGGGAACAATTATAACAAGTTTGGATTTCGAAGACAAATTGGCTTACAAAAACTTGCCAATTTAATTTATTTATACAATAAAACAATATATTATTATAGCACACAATGTATTTTGTATATTTTTTTTTTCAATTGACTTTTTGACTTAATTTATAGTTAGTCAATTAATAAATTTGTTTTGTACGCAACTCAGCTCTGACGCGAAAAAACCACGCACACGATACTCTATAATAATACATATGAATTAAAAATACACGTTAAACTTTGGTGTTATGAACTAATACGTACATCAAAACCACACGAATTACACGTGGAATTCCTATGTAATATCTATAAATTATAAAAAACCTACACATAAACACATTATAAACTAGTATTGTTTAAATTTAAATGTATAGTAATAATTTTACACTGTTTGTATATTACTAAATAGCAATAAATCGTGTCTATACTCTATACAAAATTTATAATCAATTTATATTACATATTTTATACTGTAACTCCGCAGTGATCTCCAATTTGTGTACCTATCTATTAAAAACATTTAAATAATCTAATTTGTAACAATTAAAATAAATGACCAATGACTGTTATTTGTATGTTTAATCCCAACGTTTATTAAACTTTTGATAAATGTTTTGTTGTATCAATCTAAAATGATATTATTTATTTTCCAATACCTACAATTTGTTTTAGGTACCTACGTATTATTTAGGTAGGCACCTATGTATTTATTGTATTTATGTCACACGGCGCAATAGATAGACTAATTAGCTACACCAGTGGTTTGGATTATTTTATCAGTATCTCATTTTATGTATTAGCATTGCAAAATAAAATAATAATATGATTAGAAAAGAGTTGCATAAAGATGTTTTTGATCCTGCACGGAGTCACTTGTGAAAAATTAAGATCCCAGGGATTTACTTCTACTTAAGTTCACGTAAACTGCACAGCACTTCTTAACACTATTATTTGATTGTTTTGAATATTTTGATCATATATTATAAAGTACGAGTCTAAAATTATATCAAATAATTACAACTATTTTATTTACCATGTAATAAAATACCTTTGAAATCTCTGTAGTAAATTTTCATGAAATATTACATTTAATCATCAACGTTTGGATCCACAGCGTATAGGTCTGTACAATTTGAATACTTTTAATTTGCCATACGAACCCTAAACTGTATACTATGGCGCGCGCATTGAAAAAAACTGTCCCACCCTAGTAGGCTGCCATTTTGATTCTTCTCGTAGAATAAATAATAAAAATTATCTGCTAAATATGCGATCCACCGGTATATTTTATTTATTTATTTTTTTTTATTTTTTTTTATTCTTCAAGAAGATAATGGGCCTTACTGAACATGTTCGTACTCCGTTATTTCGTAGAACACAAGATAATAAAATAATTCTATCAATGACAAATCATAGATAAGAACACTAACAGAATAAAAATGGCTGCCCTTGATATAGTTACACTTTTCAAGGCATGAATTATATACAATGAGCCTTCCATGTATAGAGTTCAGTGGATACGAATGATATAAAATCATTGTATTCGAAAATAGATTCTGAGCGAACAGTGAACACGAAGTACGAACCGTCTATATGAGAGTTTATTAATTTATGACATAGTTGTCATAGTTTCAATTAAAGAAATGTATTTTCCTATTAATAATACAATAAGTTGAATCAGCAACAATTTAAAAAAAAAAATTATAAAAATCGAAATTTTCTTATGCTTATTATAATAGTACTAGACTCTGCTAGAGACGGTCGTGTTTATCGCGCATCCGTCCGTTAACGTATAGATTACGACTCGTGGTTTTAAGATAACATTATGTAATGGTTTTATGTGTATTATGTTCATTAACTATCAATAGAAATCAACTCTCTATCACCTGTTGTCTCTGTAATTTACTTTTTCATAAAAACTGTGTCTTTAATACTTCGGATTTAAATTCGTGGAAGTGTCTATACTGTTCACAAAATATGTCTCCAACAGTTACAAAAAAACCTGTTAGTATAAGTCTTGAAGAACTTATTAAATCAGTAAAGTCTCTGGAAAGTAAGTTTACCCAGCAAGAATCTAAAATTACAAAAAAACTTGATGAGACCCTACAATTATTGAATAATGTTATTTCGGAAAATAACACGTTAAAGGAAAAAATCTCTGTCCTCGAAAAAAAAATTACGTATTTTGAAAAAACAGACTTTTGTAGCGAAGTATCTGATAGAGATCGCAGGAAGTGTAATATTATTATTTTCAATGCCCCGGAATGCACCTCTGACAGTGCCCCTGACGAATTAATTCTAGTTAACTCAATTTTTTCTTCCCTAAACTTACCCATAAAAGCTCTAAATGCTATACGACTTGGTAATAATTATAACAAACGTCGTCCGCTTAGGGTGAATCTACCTGATGTTAACTGTGTTAATCAGATCCTTAAAGCAAAGTCTAAACTCCGTAATATTGAAACGCTGAAACACCTAAATATTGATATTGATAAAACCAAGC